ATTAAGTGCATCTGTGATTTAATTGCGTGAGATTGATTTCATTTTGTTTCCTAGGAACATTAATTTTTTTTCATAGTAAACACATACTATTTACAGTTATACAACATGTATTTTTTTTTAATTTAGTAGCCGATGCCCTCACCGTGATTACGCCTCAGGCCAGTGCCTAGTGTGCTTTATTATAAATCTATCACCGTCACATTTTCTCATTTACAGTTGTTACATTTATTGATATTTTTATCGTGACTAGAGATGATAGATGGCGTTATACTATTTAATTTACGCCAGACATAAAATATCCATGCAGCCTTATCGGTGCAAGACGTGTGGTACTGCGTCCGTACGTAATGCGCCCGCAAATCTTGACAATTGAGGCAAATTCTTCAAGCCAAAATCCTCCTCAACGATATCCTGGATTTTGTGAGGAGTTGGTAACAATAAGAAAATTTAAAAAATAGTAATTCAATACCTTAGTTGATATAACCCCTTTTTGGAGAAATCTAGTCTAGCACCCTACCTTCGAAAACACCAATACAGTTGAGGAATCAATCATCTTAAGATTGGCGACTATCATTTACTCACTTTGTAATATATTGCTGCACTGAAACTGAAATTATTCCTATGCCTGTAGAGGATTGTGATTTGAGAACTACATGTCGTGAAATAATTTCAGAATTTCTACGTTTTTTGTAATGGGTTATGTGCCAAGATTTAGTGACAATTTGGTGACTATTATGTTAAAAAAATAGCTATTCATCAATGAGAATCTAGTGAAAACCATACCCAAAGTACTGCTGCTTTAGTAGTACTGATACTTTACACTTGCATAAATGATGCTTCATTGGAAATGAAGCAATATTTATGAAAGTTCTTGTCATCGAACGTAATAGAATAGCGTAATTTTACGTGGTAGAACCATGCTGCAGCTATATTAGTAGTACAAATGTAGCACGAATAGGTCAGCAGGAACGGCGAACGATCTCACAGAATACCAGCCTAAAATAGCGGCTTAACGCTGCTATTTTTCAACGAGGGTGACAATGAAATTTCTTGGAGAATTAAAAACTTAACAAACAGCAAGATATTAGTTTTATTAGATATTTTCAGAATAGTGTCCATTTACATCAATACATCGCTGCATCCGATGGAACCACTGAGAAAAACACTTCGCCCACTCGTCCTTAGGGGTTTCTTCGATGGCATTTTGAAACGCAGCCACTGCTTCCTCGGCATCCATAAAACGTTTTTCCCGAAGTTTTTCTTTTATTTTCGGTAATAAATTAAAATCGAAAGGTGCGAGGTTGGGGCTATAGGGCGCGTCACCTAGTAATTCTACGTCTGGCGTCGCTAAGTAGTCGTTTGTTTGCTTGACAGTGTGCGACGAGGCGATGTCGTGGTGAAGGGGGATCCTATTGCGAGGTAGTTTATCCCGAACTCTTTTCAAGACAAATCAAAGTCAAATTATGAGGTATCCACCGGGCACAAAACTCCCTATCCGCAAATGTTCATCGAAGATTTTGTGCACTTGACTCATACCGATGCCTAAGCTTGTCCAAATCTTTTGATAAATCACTCTTTTATCAGTCTCTATCATACGCCGCACAACACTGATGTTATCTTCAGTCGTCGCCGTAGAAGGCCCTCCCACACGCTGAATATTGGTGAGATTAGTGCGACCACACTTAAACTCATTAATCCAGTAGTAGACAGTGGCACGAGATCTACGATATACGAAGTCTATCATAACTTTCTTGTTGACTAAAATAAGATCGAAAGTCATAAAAAAATTTTTACGAAAATTATTATATGATACCGACAATTTTCAATTTGCAACCAAATCGTAAACAAATTAATTAAATACATATACAATAATATTGGCAGAGTTCCATTTTCAAAATTTGAACTAGTTTTTATTATATCGTTTACAAGTGGCCAGTTCTAAAAACTTTCAGTGTCGCCCTCGTATGATGTGTGTAGAAAACCGGAGACTCTTTTTACTGGAAACGAGACATCCCATCTTAGTCTTTGCGGGTGACAACATATTTTGCATTTTGATTCGTAACCGAGGATAAAGTAATATATCTATGGGTCATTTGGCAAGCATTTTTGGCAACCACTTACCATCAGGTGGACCATGTGCTCGTTTATCACCTTTACCCTATAAAAAATAGAATAGAACATGTTTTTTATTGAATACAGATTATAAATTATTTCTATTTAAGGTCATTTTCTACTTTTATTACTGGTTCCTAAAATGTCTCTGTCCTAGGATGAATCAGCAAATAACCAAGAGGGACGTTTTTACAACATTAACATTATAAAATGTAAATTAGTTTCCATAATTATTTACAAAACTTATTAAAAAGGATCTTGAAGAGTAATAAAAGTATACATTTTATTTTACTGCATATAATCATTTTCGTCATATTTATCCGATAATTTGAATATAGTAAAATATAGAAATATTATGTCGTATAATTAATTAATAATGTTATGTTCGTATTTTAATGATTGACCAACGATGATTATAAAAATAAAAACATCCTAATTTCAAAAAATAAGATGGTTGGGTACTACTGTTTGCTTAGGATCCCGTAATTAATATAATTATATTCACCCAAGCATGTGCGATAATTGGAGAAACAATAAGCTCGTTCTGCGTAGATCGGATCAAAAATAAATTGTAATTACTGGTTGAAGGCGTCCTTGTTTTTACCTTCATTATTGTTGTTGTTGTTAAATTTTGGTAATTCAATCGACATTTTTTATTGTCACGAACCTCAAGCTCGTAACATTTAAACACAAGGATTTTCTCCTGCAGAGTGGAGGCAGTTTTCATACTCGTACATATACGTTGCACTAGGATAAACATCCAGATTTAAAACAATTATATTCGTTGGTGCCTCCTCTATCAGTGCAGAAAGAGTGCAGGATTTACATTAGATCAGTCAAGTTACATTAAAAATGTCTTACAGCGTTTCTATATGACAGATTGCAAGCCATAAGTCACTCCAGTGGAATGTGGACTAAAACTGGGGAAATTGAAATTAAAAATTCCAATTTACAGAGTAAATTGGTTGCTTAATGTGTATGGCAGTGTGAACAAGGCCTGATATATCCTAAGCAGTAAGTGTACTCAGCCAACTCAGTGAATGCTTTGATGAGTCCCATTGGAAAGCAGCAAAACGCGTGTTGCGTTATCTAAAAGGTACATTTAATTATTGTCTTGCTTATGGAGCTTTAACTCCTCATTATTCTCTGTCTTAGCACCGACTTTTCGAGCAAGAGTTCATACCCTGAATCATGAAAGTAAAAGAAAAAATAAAGTGTGGAATAATATTTGAAGCGTAGTGATGTGAAATAAAAATAAAACTCACTTACTTTACCTTTTTTTTATATTTTTGTATACCAAAACAACACAACGTGACGTTCTTAGAACAGTAAAATTCGATACAATAAACATGTAACAGTTAGTTTTAGTTTTATTTATAACTACATATTTATGAAACATTTTACTGGCAATGCTATTAACATTACGTACTAATATTAATGATAATACTCCGGGTAAGCTTAAAATACCTGTGTTACTAGTGGTTCACGATAGTGGTCGCATGGTGGATTCGAACCTATGACTTATAGTTCGCTGTCCGCTCCCACCATTAGACAACTGCCACTTACATCATAAACCAACTAAATATTTTTATTTAACGTACAAATTAGGACTTAAAAGTGTGGTAGCGGTGTAAAAATATCCACTACACCATTTTGTCCCGTGGTCAAAATAATGTAAAACACTATTGTTACCAACTCTACTAACAAACGTGGCACAATCTTTCCAATGAGGAAATCTAAGGGCAGGCGTCCAGCTTTAAACTTTAATAGGCTATAATGGATATAACGAGTCTAAACTTTAATACACACCCACCAAAAATTTCTGAAACAACTTTGTTATTAAACTTTTTAATTTCGTTCGTATCTATAATCAATTGCTATTGCCCTGTCTCCTGTGTGTGAGAGAGACAATTGTAGCTCGGACTGATTATACCTATGTAAAATTGACAAAATCATCATTTTAACCCCTGTATTCTCATCCAAATCTGGCCCATTATTTAAAGTGTAGCCGTGGAAAGAAAAGGGGTGATCTCCCGCCGGGCAAGGTGTTCTGCCCGGGGGGCGGCCAACACTCCATGTAATAATTCGGAGCAATTTTATATATACTGTTTGATTCGGAACTTTGATAGCGCGATTTAGGCTTCGATGTGTTTCGCTTGTAGTGTGACGACAGCGCCAACACATCACCCCTCTGCTCAGACCGGAGGTCGATAGTGCAGTCTCGCTGTCAACGAATGTGTAAGTGTCAGGGGATTCCCTGTAGTCTGCCGTGAGTCGTGAAGAAGGCAAGTAATCTGCGAGAGTGCTGTGAAGCAAATGTGAGCAGTATGGAATTATGTAATAATTCTGAGCTATTCCATAAATACCATTTTTGATTCGGAACTTTGATGGCGCGATTTATGCTTCGATGTATTTAGCTTGTGGTGAAACGACAGCGCCGCCACGAATGAAAAAAATGTACTATGGATAAGCGCAGTACCGGAAATAATTACAGATTTTTTAGCAGTTCCGTTCAGTTTAGGTACTAAATTTAAAGTTACTTACAGTCCATCTGATGGTAACTGGCCATTTAAGTCTATAAACACGTTCAGCCAACTTCAAACAAAGGAGGCTACAGATGCGTTATCAACACTGAGAACAAAGTCCATCTTTGTTTCGTCATACACTCCAACTTCTTTAATGCCACATCGGTTCTCTTTTCGCACATATTGTAAGAATAAGACAAATATATTAAAATGACATTCGTTTTATTTTATTTTTATTTTTTCATAGAAAGAAAAACAAGCCCACAAACCACCCGATGGTAAGCTTTTCTTACCAAAAATGTGAGCTCTTTTGTCACTCTTTTCCTATTAAATATGTACAACTATAATATTCGTTTAAAAGTATTAATTTTCGTGTTCAAAGCGGTCCATATACACAAATACACCGCGCGGCACGGGAGGAACACACGCTGTCGCTCGTGCGGTGCGCAGCGCAAACGCGGCGGCAGCCGTGAGCCGCGCGCGCTGCCCGCACACGACTCGTGTGGGTCTAGACAAGCGGCTCACTCGCCGCGCGGCACTTGAGCAGGCTCGGTCAACTCTGTATGGACAGAATGAAATACCTACGGGGGGCTGAATTTTATTATTGCCATTTGTCAGATAAATGTCTTGTTTTATAATTAGTAAGATTTTTCTAAAGATAAATTACACTTAAAAATTTTGAATATAGAAATAATAATCCACAGGAAGATAACTATGCCTGTCGTATTTTTCTACATTATTATATTGGCATATCCTTGACAGTAAAAGAAAAGTTTTGATTTTCAATGAGTAGAAAATTATATTTTTTACTGGTAGCACTAAAATATCTAAATGAGTATATAATTCTCATTTCCAAAGAGTATAATAAGTATATACAGGAACACATTTCTCAAAATATGGCGCCGCCGTATAAATTATTGTTGTTCATGATCGGTTGTTATGTTTGTTTTGCTTGTGTCTTTTTCTAAGATTTTGCAAGTTTTCGATGTTGAGTTGAGATTAATGTCCTTCGTTTATATGATGTGCAATGTGTTAGTCAATGATTCGTAGTGAAATACGAAATAGTGACTCTAAAAACTACGCTGCAATGGCGGATAAAGAAAATAGAAAAAGTGTTCTTAGTGCAACAGCTTACCAACCATTGACAACATTAAATTATTTAAGTTTCCGAAACCCGCAGTAAAGTATATTTTGTGGTACGTATACAATATACATATACACTAATAAGTTCTAACCTTAAAGTAAATCTCTTGTCCAACTTATTGTTTTTCTTTAAACCATTTAAAAACAAATTATTGGTTTGTAAACCATTGGACCTACTTTGATAATATTTGTATTTAATAATTATATCTTTTGTTTTCAGCTGTAAGTTGTAGGCGAAATATTATATTCCTTCCCAAGAGCAATATACTACTTCAGCTTTCCAGACAAAGCTACATAATAAGCCCAGAATGCTGTGTGAAAAACGTTTTCATGGTGGTTAATTTAATGATGCAACCAAGAAAAAGCTCTTAAGAACTGCATTCCCATGTGATGTAAGTAAAGTGTATAATGTATATGGTAATACTCGTATGGTATGTATATAGTTTTCTTTAAGGATTACTCAGATATTTTATATGGGGATTACTATATTCAGGAGTGGACTTTGATAGACAGTAATGAAGATGATGATGATTATTCATATGACCATCATCTGGATCTAACATGGATGGACAGACCACATACAGTAGTTTGAATCTTGTAAATGCTTTTAACTAATTTATAATAATTGGACAGACAAGGCATCCAAAGGATTGAAGTCTATAACTCTATAAAGTTAACACAAGCCCTTCCTTACATTATTAAGAGTGCAACACACTGCATATTATTTTTAACAATCAAATATTTTTAAAACAAGAACAAACCTTAAGAAAGTTCAAGCATCACAATCTATGAATAATTACATTTCGTCCTAAGCCTATCAAATTTAAAGGCACAACTTGTACAACACAGTGGAAATACATGCATCGAATAGTTCTCAAATAATAGATAAACACTAGACTTCTTTTCACATAGTTATTGTGTTATACTTATTTTGTTATATTAATTGTAATAGTGGGTGTATTATAGAGCAAGTTGGATGAACAAGATCCATTCATTTATTTTGTATTGGTAGAAGGGTAACGTAGTGCCACGAGCAGGGACTGGTTTACTATGAAAGTAATGTCAGTGAATATAATGTTAATTTAATTTTATATAATAATTTTATGATGCTATAATTATATCAGTTTTTATTTATTTCCAGACTAACAAAGTGTATTCTCATTTTATTTTGTGGAATCACAAGCTGGCTCCTCGCAAATTATTGCTTCAAAACCAAAAGCAGGATCTTCAAAAAGGACAACATTATATCCACTGAAGAACAACCACAAACATCAAAGCATAACAGATAACGTTGAACCTGAAAAAGAAAGTACTCTATATGAAAATTTTTAAAATTATATAAGGAATATCTTTGTAACCTAATATTTAATATGTTTTATAATTTTGAATTAAAATTATTCTATTTATAAGCTCATTCAATACTTAATATATTGCATATAATATAGAGACAAAATTTTTAGTGTCAATTCAGGGAAATTTTATACGTGGTAGAGCCATGCTGCAGTTATATTAGAAGTATAGTTGTAGCACGAATGGGTCGGCTCGACCAGGGAAGGACCACGCTCTCACAGAATACCAGTGTGAAATAGTAGCTTAATGCTGCTGTATTTCGTATGGTGAGTGTAGAGAACCGGATACCCCTTTTACTGAAAACGAGGCATTCTATCTTAGTCCTCACGGGTGACAAGGCATCTGCATTTTGATTCGTAATCGAGGATAGATGTGGACGTCTATGGGCCATAACAACCACTTACCATCAGGTGGACTGTGTGCTCGTTTGTTACCCTATCCCATAAAAAATAGATGGAGAACCAAATATTATCAAAACAAAATTATTATTTGTGAATTTTGCACTTGTGTGTAGGAGCTTATTTATTAATTAACTTGTTTTTGATTAAAATATTGATATTTGGGTTATTGTAGACATTCTGTGATTTGTGATTGTGCATATCATCAATTCATCCATGATTGTAAATCTTATATATATTGTTTACTTAAGTAATTGAAATGTTGTAATCAATATTGATTTTCTTTTCATGTTTAAACCCATCAAATGTCTTTATAGAAAGAACTAAGCTGCTGGAGAAATTTTGTCTTAAGTTATGTATGTTTTTTTATTTTTATTTTGAATAAATAAATAGAAATTTTGTAATTTTTGTTCTTAATTTTTGTAATTTGTAATTTTGTTTTATTTAGCGCTGGGATAGGCAACCCAAAAATGCCTCAAATAAAAAAACCAAAAAAAGACCACGTTCAAATTTCCCGCCACACGAGAAGTGCAGGAGGCTGACGATAGATGGAGCTATTGGTTATATATAGCATTTCTTAAATTTTGTATGAAGTTGTCGTTCTTCTCCGGTAGGAGTAATAGTGTTCTGTGCACTTGAAGAGCGCGCGCTGTCGCTCGTGCGGTGCGCAACGCAGGTGCAGCGGCGGCCGTGAGGTGCGCGCGCGGCCCACACGCGACTCGTGCTCCCTCTGCGCCTCCACTAGCGGCGTCTCCGCAAAACGCACGCCCAAGCGCGTCCGCGGGTTGACGTTCTGCTCAGGGATGCGACAAACAATAAATACAAGGAAATAATAGAGAAGTTGCATGTTTTTTAATTTTTTTTTGAAAGTTATTGAGAAAAATTATCACTGATTTTTCATGTGATCATACAATTGAAATGGTTTTTCTAAAATATAAATTCGAACGCCAGTGACGTCATTATATCGCTTTAGTAACGCAACTTCATGGTGAAACGATAAAACCTTAGAGTAATTACATACATAGTAATTACTATGAGGATAAAACACTCATGTTTACGTTGTCAAAATTAAAAAGTTGTCATTGCATAATTCATGTTTTGTTATGACACATGGTGATCCGAATATAGAAAATACAAAAGTACGAGTATAGCATGATTGCAATTGGCTCACGGCCTCAACAGATATAATGACTTCACAACCAATGACAAATCAATTTTTTTTCTTTACTATTATTCATCATAATCAAAATTACTTCCCTTGAAAAGTTCAATGCCGAACATCGGCCTCTCCCAAGGAATGCCACAAAGCACTATTATTATATACGGTTGTTTTTGAAAGTGTAAGGCGGGGATTTTCTACGATAAAAGGCCTTTAACGCTCCTCTATATTACTTTCCTCTATGGCTCCTCCAATGCATACATATTTATACCACACAAAGCTAGCGTGCGATATTGGGTGGACAAAAGGTAACCTTTTTTTGAAACGTTTTTGGAGGAAAATAAATAGGAACGTACCGATTAAAAATTCAATAACATGCCACTATCGCTTAAAAAAACCGAAAACTAAAGAGTCAAAGATTTTTCCGGCGATTAAATTATATTTTTTTCTCAATTAATAATTTAAAAAATTATTAAGAATTTAGTTGAATATTTTATTGTTGTCCATAATTTTGAGCACATGCTCTTTTAAGAACTACCAATTCCCGAGTGTCAAAATCTTGTCTAAAATACGATATTTTATTAAACCTGGCCTTAAATATTATAATATAATGTCTCATATCCGGCGTCAATCCAATGCCATCTATTTATATTAGTTTAGGGTGCAAGTATGTTTTCAATTCTAGTCGATAGTCTATAACCGTGTGATGTTATATATTATGTTTTATGCGTATTATATCTTTAGCGTGCGTGCGTGCAAGCGTGAGTGCCTGCGTGTGCGTGTATATATGTGAGTGCATGCGTTCGTGTGCGATCGCACGCGTGTTTGTGTGTGTTTGTGTATCTTCCTACTCCCGGTTTATTACCGCAAGCAAATTTTATTATATAATGATTTCTTATATTTACGCGAACATTGCACATGATTAAAACTACTTTTACGGATTTTATCGCGTTTATTTTTACTTTTTATTTTTAATTCCCGACGTTTCGGGCGCTTTCCAGCACCCATGGTCACGGGGGACTGAGATGACTGACGTCCCGATGTCATTGTTAAACCCGGAGTACCTTCAGCTTTTTCAGGGAAGTCTGCAGTTTGTGATCATATCCTAGACGGCCCCAACCATTACATCAGATTTGATAGACAACAAATCCTCGCGAAAGAACACCGATTCCTACCAAGGATGATACGTGAGGCTATTGAAATTAAAAAACATCCTAATTTCAATAGAGAAGGAGGCTGGGTACTACCACCTGCTTGGGATCCTATAATCAATAAAATTAAAACTAAACCCAAGCATACCACTGCAAGACCTCAGGACATAGTCAGTTCATTTTGCATAGATCGGACCATAAACAATAATTAAAAAAGCTGAAGGTACTCCGGGTTTAACAATGACATCGGGACGTCAGTCATCTCAGTCCCCCGTGACCATGGGTGCTGGAAAGCGCCCGAAACGTCGGGAATTAAAAATAAAAAGTAAAAATAAACGCGATAAAATCCGTAAAAGTAGTTTTAATCAAATTTTATTGTACTTTAACTATAAGTGACCCATCATTGGCTTCGTACAGCTAAGCTACCTGCCCATATACGGCGGTTTTCGGCAATGTCAAAAATCGCCTGGAGTGGGGAGGGCTTATATTTAAGAAGTAGTCATTTAAATGTCGATGAATTAACCGTCGTAGTTTATGTCGTCCATTTCTTTAGCAGGAAACAGCACGTGCAGATAAGGTTGAAAATTGGAGATGGGCTTTATTACCAGACATCCACAAAATACGTCTTTAAAAATAAATGAATATATATGAGGGATGATTATGATTTTTTTTGGTATTTGCCATAATGTCAGTCTCAGCGAAGACTAGTAATCTGTGCAGGATAGGGTTTAGTGCCCGAGTGTATGCGCAAGCACAGGTACATTCTATATCCCTTACTTCCATAATAAAACGGGATATGGTTATCCAACATGATCGGAGAGAGATCAGATACAGGACCATCGGCTTTACGTTTTTTTCGAGGCACGAGTGTAAAACACCACCAACCTGCTAACTCCAGGCTGCTACGAAGAATTTCTTGTCAGAAAAACCCTTTAAAAAGTCGCGCCCTGACCTGGGATTCGAAGCTGGGACCTCACGATCAGCAACCACATTTACAACGAGGCAGTCAGTTTGGTATTTCCCATATTTACCTCTTACGCTTACGCTTAGCAGATATACAACATATTATGTTTATTAATACGTTCTTACCTTATTCGATTTCATTGCAGGGTCGTCGATATTTTGTAATTTCTTTTTATGTATCAATCCAGTGTTGCCTGAAGGGAAAAAAGCTGTTTATGAGGTCTACTTGCTATTACTGATTTTGAAACATTTTTGGTTAAATTATAAATATTTTTAAGTTGAAGAATAATTGTAATTCACCCTAAAATTATATAATTTTATTTTCTGTTATCAAACAAACTAATTGTTAATTATTTTAATTTGACAATTTCGTTTGAATTTCAATAAGACTCAAAATGTAACTTAGTCATTCAAAATTATCTTTATAAATTAGAGGATATATAAAATGAAATGTTAAGAGCTGTATAAATAAGGTGAATTGCCTGTGTTCGTAAAGAAAAAAGTCGACCAGCAGCATGTTTTATTCAGCAGCCTCTGAATGGTTACATTGGAACGTAACGCATAGGAGCCGTACACTATGGGGTTCATGAAGGAGTTGGAGACTGCCATCGCAAACAACATGTCCTGAATTTGAGGTGACACGCGTGATGCTGAACTGCGATCTACCATGTACCTTGGGTTTTAATTTACACGATAAATTCAATAATATAAAAAACCTAAAAGACGAAACGTTGTTAATGTTTTTAGTGTTCCTTTGTCCTTTAGAAATATTATCCTTATGATTTTTAAAGGTTTTTTTTTTAAAAAAAGGAGGTTTTCAATTCGACTGTGTATTTGGTATGTATACGTACGAGTATGGGTTTTGTATACTCAAATTTGGAAGATAAACTGCTGTACTAAAAGTGGTAAAATAATATATCTTACTTTTTTATTTTTTATGTTTTTATGTGTAACTCAGATGACGTTGAAATCGTTCCTTAGTACACTCAAAAGTGTAAAGATATCAATTTTGACAAATGTAAGAGTCGTAAGAGTCTAGTACAAAAAACTAAAAGAAAAAATAATTCAATATCTGAAATCGGGTCTCTATTCTTTTCTTCTCTTCTCTTTTTACCGAGAAGGTTATGGAGCGATTAGTCCACCGTGCTGATCCAGTGCACGTTGACGGATTTCACATGTCTCATAAATAATTTTTAATTTCTCAGGTTTCCTCAAGATGTTTTCTTTCACCGCTAAGAACGTGATAAATCAGCACTTAAAATTGTAACCAACAATTACATTGGTGCCGAAGATCGAACCAGGTTGCTCGCATACCGCGGCATCTCTAATATAGTACTGAGTCGCAAATCGCTTGCAAGTTGTGACCATAATTGGACAAGCCAAAATGACTGTCCGTCTGTCATATAAAATATTCTGATTAACTGCGGCAAATTATGGCGGAAATTATGTTTGACGTAGCCCTGTAAGTGACTGCAAATTGTCAGACGTGGTTGCCCGTCTATTGGCAAGTTCGCCCGTACCACTTTCGCCATCTAAACGCGCGTGCACCGCACAGTGATACATTCCCGAAATATCATCACGCAAGCAGTATGCGTATACCGCTTGCGCCGTACGAACACGTGCACCGTGAGAGGCTGATCTCTTGATTTCGTGTCGTCTTCTATGGAATGCACTGCTATTTTTGCAACCCACGCGTGTCTAATAAAATAGTGTATAAGAACCTACAGAGCTATTACATGTGTATGTGTAATAACCACGCGCAAGAACTATCGGCAGTATGCTGATGAGTGTGCCTGGAAACGGCATAAGACCGCATCGCAGCTGTCGGATTGAGATCGCCTGGAGGTCGACGTATCGCAATTGAACGTACAGGTAAGCTATTAAACAAACAATTACCCACAGGTCCTTTGAATATTTACCTGTTGCTATTGAATCAGTCTTTAACTGCAAACCTTTACCAGGACCTGAGCTATCATAAGAGATTACACTATATATTCTGTCTACACCACCTGGCATTCCGCATCATCAAATAGCCCCCACCGCGTGTTGACCTCATGGGCTGCACCTCGCATTCACGAAATTTATTTGGTACCTCGCACCGCATACCATATTTTTGATTACCTCGAACCGCATATTTTCCGTTAAATTTGTGGTCTTCGAGCCGTATATCCTCCAATAATAATAAACACTTCCGACTACAGTAGAGGCATAATGATTTCTTATGTTTACGCGAACACTACACATTTAAATACATATAAATACATACATAAACACTCACGCCTGTCACCCAGAGGGGTAGGCAGAGACTACGGACTTCCATTTGGCACGATCCTGACATACCTCTTTCGCCTCCTTTACATCCATATATCTACGCATACATGCTCGTCGGTTAAGGGTACTTCTAACGTGGCCCCTTTTCAAAATATCGCCAATTTGGTCGATAAACTTTTTTCTAGGGCGTCCTTTCCCGACTCGGCCGTTCACATCTGCCATATAAATTTGCTTTGTCACTCTTTCCTCATTCATTCTTTCTACATGACCAAACCACCGAAGCATTCCTTTCTTAATCCTGGTCACAACATCATCTTGCATACCACATTTATCTCTTATCATGCAATTTCTCACCCTGTCATTCAGATTCAACCCTAGCATACTCCTTAAAGACCGCATTTCTACAGCATTTATTCTACTTTCGTGCTTCTTCTGCCACACCCAGCTTTCACTACCATACATTAAAGTAGGGACTAACAGAGCATTATGAATTACCATACGTGCCTTTTTTGACACATTCTGGTTCTTCATAATAGAGTGTAGTGCCCCATTCACTCTATTCCCTGCATTTACTCGTCGTTCTATATCCCTATCATATCTACCATCCCCGCTAAATACACATCCCAAATACACAAACTCATCCACTTGCTCAATTAACTCTCCTTCTATTCTTATTTCACATACCGTTTTGCTTTCTTCTCTTTCAAAAACCATCACTTCGCGATCACTTTCAACCAAACCATTTCTTTTAATTCCCAGTTCATTAATGTAACCATCATTTGCAACTCAGCCGCCGATGACGCAAATATGACTTGATCATCGGCATACAAAAGGCATTTGACGGTTAACTCGCCCATTCTTAACCCACATTCTTCATCTTTCAAAGTTTGCAAACACCTGTCCGTAAATAGGTTGAACAGCCAAGGGGAAGCTACACAGCCCTGTCTGACACCTTTTTGGATGCCAAACCAGTCCGAGTAGACCCCATTGATCCTGACACAAGCACTAGAGTCCCTATAAAGAGACCTTAATGCCTGTATCAAACCAGCGCTCAACCCATATGAGTTCAGTGTTTGCCATAACACATTCCTGTCTACTCTGTCATAAGCCTTTTCCAAGTCCATGAACGCACAAAAAACTTTCTGGTTTTTGGCCAAAAACTTCTCTGCAATCATGCGCATGGAAAAGACTTGATCTGTACACCCCATTCCCTTTCTAAAATCCGCTTGCATATCCCAAATTTTTCCATCAGTTTCTTTCATAATTCTTTCAATTAACACCTTAGCTTACAGTTTACCCACAATACTAAGCAAGCTGATACCACGGTAGTTTTTGCAGTCCTGCTGTGACCCTTTTCCTTTATATATTGGTACTATAACTGCTTTACACCAGTCATCCGGTACCCGTTTTAATTCCTAACATAAATTAAACAAGGTGTACAGCAGGCCTGCGACCACTCCCTCTCCAGCCCTTAGCATCTCGAGTGATACTCTATCATATCCAGCTGCCTTACCTGCTTTCATGCTTTTCATTGCTTTCATTATTTCATCTACACTTATCTCCATACCCCTTTCCACTTCTTTCGGAATTTCTAGTTCATTTAATTCAGACGACTCTTCACTCATAAACACGCTTTCAAAGTATTCCTTCCATCTGTTTAAATTCGAAGCTTCATCATTCAGAATACATCCATTCCCGTCTCTTATAGCATTCATTATAGGCTGTTTTGTATTTCCCCTGGCAGTTCCTACGAGTTTCCAGAACATTTTTATGTTAGCCTGGAAATTATCAGATATCCTTCTATCATTCTCATCCGTTCTTTCTTTCTTTTTCCTTTCAACAACTTCTTTTACTCTCTTATTTAGACGTCTAAATTCTGCCTTTTTTCTTTCAATCTCATCATTCATACCAGAAGAATTACCAGCTTTGGTTGCTAGTAAATCTAACCATGCTTTCTTCTTTGATTCAACTTCCACCCGTACCTCATCATCCCACCACAACGTATTACTTTTCCTTTCATTTGTTCTCTTACTTACACCACATACTTCAGTGGCGGCATCCACCAAACCTTTCTTAATATTGTCCCACACAGTATTCAAGTCTAAATCATTCATACACAACTCATTCAAACATCTAATATTTCCTCTCAGTCTACATTTATACTTCTCTTTCACATCTTCATCTTGTAACTTCTCTATTCTTATACGCTGTAACGCAGTGGTAGACACAGATGTCCGATGCCGCCAACGCTTGAAAAGACCATTAATTCGACATAAGACCAAGTAATGATCCGTCCCTACGTTGGACCCCCGGTAAACCCTTGTATCTACGACTGCGCTCCTCATTCTTTCATCCATAATTACGAAATCTATCATGCTTCTATCATTACCTCTTTCCCATGTATACATGTGAATCTTCTTATGACGAATAAAAGTATTCTTCACAAAAAGATTCTTTTCCACACATACGGTGAGGAGGTCTTCACCATTCTCATTTATACTTTCATCACCAAACATTCCCAATATCCTTTCATAACCAGACCTCTTCACCCAAACCCTTCCATTAAAGTCTCCTAACATAATAATATTTTCATTTTCCTTACATTTTGTCAACACCATCCTTACCATGTCCCAAAACTGCTCTCGGATGTAAGTGGGCTTAGACATGTCTGGGGCGTATACCCCTAGCAGGAACAGCTTCTTTAAGCCCACTTTAATTCGTATCCATAGCAGCCTCGGGCTTACACATTCATATTCTTTCACATATTGACCCATTCTTTCTGAAAGGATGAAACCGACACCCTGGCATGCGCGTTCGGTCTCGTCTACGCCAGACCAATACGCGGCATACGTGCCATGTGCAGTGGCATCCTTTCCCTTTCGTTTCGTCTCATTCACACATAACACATCTATTCCTCTGTCAT